GTTGGGAAAAATGGGTTATGTGGTACAATCTAGGCCTTTGGATTTAAATTTTTTGGTTAGTTTGTAAATTATAATTTTTTTGTTGTATCAATTGCAAATTTTCCCAAAAAAGAATTAATAAGCAAGATGTCTGATTTTTTTTTTTTAAAGCGTTGATGTATCAACGAATAGATGCAGAGTATATCAGATGAGTTCGTAGATGGAATAAACACATTTTTTTATTTTGCTCGGGCTCAACCATCTTTATCTAATGGAATGTGGTTTTCAATTGATTTGTATTTTTAAATATATTTAGCAAACAAAACTTTGCTCTCTAAAAAATTATTTTTAATGACACGAAGATAGAGTTTTATCAAATTGTCACATAATAATTCATGGCAAATAACCACATATCATCTGTGGCAATCTATGGCATTGGTATTACAAAAATAAAATGTGGCCATCCGTAAAAAATTGTCACAAGTATTACGTTACGTAACAGTTTTGTGGTAATTTTACTACGATTTGTTTTGTGTCAATGTGTGGCTTTTTTTGCCACACAAAATTACATGACAATTTGTGGTAAATTTATAACGAATATATTGTGATAAGTCGTGGCGAATTTGCCATGCAACATTTTTTGGCAAAATGTTTGCCACATTTACAATTGTGCTATTCTATGGCAATTTTACCACGAATTTACCACAAAGATTGATTGCCACGAATATTTGGAATTTGTTACGAAAAAATTCATGGCAATACTCGATGATTCTTGTAGTGTGATCTTCTCCTCTTTCTCTAATCGACGGTGATAAGTGCATCGGAATGATCCTAGATGCGTCGTGGGAGAATAGAAACACTTTCGCTTCGGATTCGTACGCAATCGGAGGTTGAGATTATTGGGAGAAGGAGATCGGTGATGGATTAGTGATGAAGAAGAGATTAATCTTCTTGTAGCGGCCATTGAAACTCTGTAACAAATAAAGAGAGAGAGACATGTGAGTTTTTTGGTTTTAGTTAATTAAAGAGAATTACTATTAAATTTAATAATAAAAAATAGTTTAAGAACTCTTTGTGTCTGAGGGTTGCTCATGCTCCAAATCTTATTAAAATCCTCCACATGTAGCTAATATATATATTAAAAAAATTATGAACGATTTTCGACATATA